ACAATATTGTAACAATCTTAAGTGTTATCGTTAACTGCAGCAGCAGCTGAAAAGGTCACAGATCAAAGTCTATATCTCACTCTCACTTGCCTGGAACATGTTGACCTGGTGACCTGCTCAAAATTTCCTTTTCTAGCCTCTGAATCACTGACATCTCCACGTGATCATCTGATAACTGCAGAGAGAAGGTAAGGTAATTGTAAATGATAAATAAAAGAACCAGAAACAGTAAAACCTTAAAATCAGATTTCTTTTTTGTATTTGGTTGTACGTAGACTGTCCCCTGGTACTGCACTGTGAAATGTAAGAGAAACATTGCAAATGTGTACAACCCAAGTCCAAAAAAGTTGGGACACTATGCAAAATTCCAAATCAAAACTGAATGCAGGGATTTGAAAATCTGATAAACCCACGAATAAGGCCTAGGAGATGAAGGGAAAGAACCGTTGTATAACCAGGAAAAAAAATAAGCCAAATTGAGTAAAGTGTGAAAAAATAATGAAGCTTTATTAAAAAGGACTCAACTCATAGACGCCTAAGCTGCTGTTTCAGCCAAACAATGGGTCAGCCACAAATTTAAAATGTCCTGAAAAGTAAAGGAGATGGTTCCACAAGTGAAAGAAATATGCTTCTGTTGCCAGCAGAGCTACTCACTAGGAGCTTAAAAACAAGACTAATCTCAGTTAACACTCCAGGAGAATGTCTGGGAGAAGAATGCTCTCCTGTTCCTGTCTGATAAAGGATTCTAGCTGCTCAACAGTGCTGGGTCTTCTCTGTTGTTGTTTTCAAAGCCATGCTGTAGTTGCAGTATGCAGTTTAGCATTGTCCTGCAGACATATGCATTTTAAAAAGAAGTCATCTGGATGGCAGCAAAATGCATTGACGGTCCCTTTCCAGATGTGCAAGCTGGCATTAACACACCCCTACACCATGATGCAGGATCTTGAACTTAGCTCTGATAACAAGCTGGATGGTCCTCACTCTGGAGGACACGGTGTCCATGTTTTCCATAAGAATTGACATTTGTCTGACAACAGAGCAGTTTTCCACTTCAGTTCACTTTGGGCAAGAGATAACCTTTTATCTGCATTTGAACTGTGTTCACAGACAGTGATGTCTCAAAGTGTTCCAGGACCCATGCAATGATTTCCACGATAGAATCATGTCTGCTTTAAATGCTGTGCAATAATCAAAGACATCCAGTGCTGATATTTCTTGCACATAGAGATTTCCCCAGAAATTATGATTTTATGTGCTGACGTTTTCAAATTTCTATGTTGAGCAAAATTCTTCTGAAATCGTTTCATTATTTATAGTTGCAGTTTTTTTGGGGGGGGGTGGGGGGGTGGATCTCTGCCTGTTTTAACTTCTCAGAGACTCTCTAAAATGCTCTTTTTATATCCAGTCATGTTACTGGCATGTTGCCAATTAGATGTCGCCAAAGTGCTTGCTCATAGGGGGTCATATGATTGTTGGGTTTTTCTCTGTATCTATGAAGCGCCTTGAGGCGACATTTGTTGTGATTTGGCGCTATATAAATAAAATTGAATTGAATTGAATTGAATTGAATAGATGCGAAATGCTCCTCCAGCTGTTTCTTTTTAGTACCATTTAATTTTTCCAGCCTTTTGCTATTGCCAGATTTATATATATATATATATATATATATATATTAGTCAATAAGTGAGAACAAATGGGAAGTGAAAGGGATTGCTATGCTATTCTTCATACATACTCTTTCCTGGCAGAAATAAAGCTACAAGCTCAGGCATGACTTTTTTTCATTAAGTTAACAACTTGTTTTCCCTCAGAACTAATGAGGTGTGAAATTTGCATATTAAAACAATATTTTTGATTATTCATCAGCAACTTGAAATTAAGTGGGTGATTACACATGATGGGAATGCTGGTTGACTAATACCAATATTACTCATGAGGAAGTGGTTGTCTAGAAACAGGTTCGAGTTTTACTCGAAATGCTACACAAAGTTAAAAAAAGGGGGGGGGGATGTAAACCACAAGTTTACTGAAACCTAAAAGCAAATGTTCCTAAACATCATTCAACCACAAAAGACACACTGTAAAAATGCAGAGTGGTGTATAACACAGTTCAGAATAATCCTTATTTATATTATATAGGCCTTGATGCAGCACCTCACCCACTTTTAGCTCTTCTCCCTCCAAGGCCACCCCTGCTTTAATCCAGTTTCCTTTTGATTCACTTTTTCTTGTAAAGCGAATAAAGGTGGGTGGGGGATTGGGGCTTCTGTGACTTATATCTCATGTTAAGCCTATGATCTCTGTTGACATTATGCAGATTCAAGAGTAGGAACAGTCTGAAAGTGTGACGTAACGTTTCTCTTACAGGAATTACTTGTGGACACACTGACCGAATTACAGTGTTTGCAATTTTGGTCGTATTTAATATAAGCATAAACATGGGCTAGTAAAATAAAATCAAAGCTAATAAACACCACTTAGAGCTAATAAGTTCCAAATAAACGGAGACAGGGCTGAAAATGCAAGATCAACTGCCAAGAATCTGCCCTGCATTTTGCTACGAGCTACCAACCAGGAAATGCAAAATGATCTTACTTCACCTGTGACAAAATAAGAACCAGGAATCTTGACAGTCTATTTTTGTCTTCGTGTTCCCACCAAAACTGAAATGAAAACACACGGCTATAGCCTGTTTGAAAATAAGTGGTTTTCCCCAAAACTTTAAATGGAAATTCTGGGCCTCACAGTCTTTGAACCACAGGCCACACTGTTGTCGTTTCTGCCTGTACTTTCAACCAAACACAACTTTTCCCACACATTCAGATGTGAAAGAGGTTAGACCTCAAAATGCTGAGTTGTTGTCATTTCCTGGTAATTACTCAGCTTGAGCTTCCTTTTAGCTTTTATCTGCTGCTGCTGCTTTTGTCTTCCTATTCCACTCCGAACCTCATATCGAGGTTTCTGATTTGTGAGTCAAGCTGACTGCCTCCTGTGCTTTAATTTTCCTCCAGCATGTGAGAAATCAGATCAGTCTTCTAGTCCTACTAGCTATGGATCAGTATCATTTGTAATTCTACCCACCATCCTTCGGGTAAGCCCACAGCACTACGATGCCACTATCTGGAATTAGCAATCTATAAAACACAAAGTAAACACACATGGGAGCTCCTTCCTTCCTTCCTCTGACCTAATTGAAACACAACAAGAAGAGATTATCAAATTAACCAGACAGGGCTAATTAATCAGTTTTCAATTTTGCAGAATAAACTTAGTTAAGGCTAATGGGTTCCTGATGTCTGGTCTGCTGACTGGATGTTAGCCGTTTGTTGTTGGGACATTAACTAACAGAACACATGGTGGAGTACAGGTAATTATAAAGGGAAATGGCATTCCTATCAAGTGGTATCAAATGATGTGAGCTTTCAGTGATGACAGTGTGGGTCTGACTCATGAATTAATTTATTATTGGTTGACGTTTGTAGATCGAGGACTTGGTTGTGATGTGCCTGACTGCTAATTAGTGTGTTTCTAGTAATTAAACCATGTATTATGTACTATCATTAAATCAAGTTGGTAAACACACTGACTGCTGATGTTTTAATGGAACATTATTATATATTGTGGTTCCAAATGTCCTAAAAATGAAAGTACTGTGTTAATGGCGTGGTTCCACTGTGTTGTCTACATTGGCCACCATGGAAAAATGTATTCCCCCGGCAAACATGCTAGTGGTAGTGTGATGGCCTTCAGCTGCTTTACTGCTTTTGGATAGCTGTTTTTACTTAATAAATTAAAGCAACATTGAAAAATTGCAATTTGTTATTTATTTGGGTTAGCTCTGGCTAATATGAAAATTTGTTTAGCAATCTGAAACATTTAAGTTTGAAAAATATGCCCCCCCCCCCCCCCACCACCACCAAAAAAAAAAAGAAGAAGAAGAAGAAAAAAAAGAGAAACCTGGATGGGGCAGATGTTTTTTCTCAGCACTGTACCAGTGTTTCCTGTTCTGACTTGTTCAAATATTATTCACATTTTCTCGGCAGTAGCACCTCTCATTTAGAACAAAGCTGCAGCAGATCAAGTGCTCTTCTGCCAGTTTGCACAATTACCCAGCTAAGAATAAATTAGCAACACAGTATGTTGGTTAGCACTGTTACATGATGGCAAAAAGGTTCTTATTTAAATAGTTGGGGCCTTGTTGTGTAAAGTTATTCACCCATGCTTGCATAGGTTTTGGCCCAAAGCAGGAGCGATCTTTTTCCATTTGCATTCCACAATTCATTTCAGTGCACGCTGGAATATTACCTTCAAAAGCAAACAATATTAGTTAAATGGCCTTTGGAGTGTCTAAGAATAAATTTAAATGAATAATCACACATTTCAATAAAATACACCGGTTTTTGTCTCAAATCTGAGGCAAAGGCTCAATATAGGACTTGCAGAATTTTCCAAAATATGTTAAAGATTTTTGCACTTGTTCTCAGGCTGTATTTTATCTGCCTCAGTGGTTTCAACTTGGTTAAACACATGTTTGAACAGGCCTCAGGGGTAGAGTAGCCCAATAAAATCACTGTGGCCCCTCAATTGAATTCTATTGATAAACTGTAACTATGAGTTAGATTAAACCATATAATTTGGTAATGAAAACTTGCAAACTCGATTTAGTAATTTACCTCACAGTTGTTTAGTACTTCTGCAGTGATCATGGGCCTGTGCAGGTCAGACTTTTTCCCTCTCAAACAAGGGCATTCATCTCCCCGCTTTGTCCTGATCGTCTTCTGCTTTACCAGGACAGATATTTTAGCACCTTTATAACATAGCATATATGGTTGTACGTTGCATCCAAAAGTAAGAGAGCTGATCATAAACAAAGCAGACAGTCTTGGTATGTAGTTTGAGCTGCCATATTCGACTCTGTTGTCTACATCTGGAACCCATCCACATACTGTATATAAAAAGTGTGTGTGTGTGAGAAAAGTTACAAATCTGGTTGCTCAGAATACTTGGTAGATGAGATGTTTATTTACACAAGCCATAAAACACACACACAAACTTGTGCGCTCAGTGCATTCAATTTCATCTACAGTACTTAATTACAGAAAAATCCAGGTAGGTAGCATTCAGGTTTGACATTACATTTGCTGTCTGTCACACAAGCTGATACATATCACAGGCACACTGACGCAAAGACTCACATACACACGCTCATTCTCAAAATCACAAGAGAACACAATGGCATTAGCGCACACAGAAAGAACACGTTACCACTGACAGGAAGCAGTAAGTCTCTGTCGTAAACACTGAACATATTGAGCCTGAGCTAAGAATCAACAACATACCAGCAGAGGCAATAAACTGCAGATTTTAACAACACAACGGGCAATTCTCACACTGATGCTCACTGAATCTCCTGGCCTTTACCACACATTTCTGTGAACATTTTTCCACTTTGTACTCATTTGAGCACCAAACTATTTCAATTCCTAAACCCAGTCACGTCAGTGGGAGAGTTTTCCCTTTTTTTGAGAGATAATGGCAGGAGAGCTGGCAGAGGTTTGCATTAGCTTTATTTTATTCCCGGATTCCACATTTTATTAGGGTTCCTTTAAAAGAAAGATATTGTGTAATTCAACCACATATAACTTTTTATCCCACTGAAAGTCTGCAAAAAAACAAACAAAAAAACAAAGTGGATAATACTGCCCACTTTTTCCATTAAAATCAGTAGTCATCTGATTTCAGCTGCTTTGCTAAAAGTGACATCACTGTTGCGTAATGGTGGGTGGCTGATCAGTAAAGCGCGTGACCTGTGTAGGCTAACTGCAAAATGACTAATGCGGGGTACAATTTTTAAGGACCTGAAAGGAAACTTACATTGGAAACCTTTGCTCTACCAGCTGAATTTCTAAGAGGATCTTAGCTGTGAGCCCTAATTTAAAAAGATGTCTTGTTTCAACACCAGACTGTTACTGTAGGAGACACCCCCCCCCTACAATGTCTTAATTTTGTATGAGCAAGTCAAGTTGCCATATTAGGCTACTTGAGTTACAGTAAAGTTTTATTCAACAGTATTTCAGTCAGAACCACTATAGTCAAAAGTTATGGAAGGGGATTAGGGCTACAGGAAAAAAACAAAAAACAAAAAAATTGGGACATCTTTTTATTTATTTTTTTAATTTCTCAGAATTCCGACTTTTTTCTCAGAACTCTGGGGGAGAAAAAAAAGACCTCCCCGCTTTTTTACCCCCAATGCCCTTATCCTCTTCTGTAAAAAGTTTTATGCATAAATTAGAAAATGTGTGTCAATGTTAGATAGAAAGAACTTTGAGAAGCACAGAAAAACTGCTTGTGTGAATGAGGCAAGTTTATAACATTTAAATGGACAGGTGTTTTCTACCTTTCCATTTAAAGTTACAGTCGTTCCACACTATAAAAATAAAGATAAATTCAAAGAAATCATTAAACGCCCCAAACTATGAAATTCATGTCCATAAGAACTTCTGAACACAACTGTTTATGGAAAGCTAGAAGACGACCCCAAATAGAACATAGCAAACACAAATAAAACAAAAATCACATCATCGGCTTAGAAGGTGGAGTTGGGTAGAGATGAGTTGGATACATAGCAACTTTAGCCAGACTAAAACCCAATAAATGGCGTGGCGTGGTACATATTCGCCAAACAGGTGTGTAAAAGGGTATCATCTCAAACCAGCTGATGTAGATGTAAGACTAAAGCTCAAGACTTCAGATATTTGTTGTGTAAATATTTATAATGAAAACTTTGAGACAGCATTTATAAATGGCCACTGCATATTCTTTGTATTGTGCATAAAGATGCATTTGCACGTGTATTTAGTGAACTGCTGCCAATAACTATTTGCCATTAGTGATAAATACTGAATGTAATCAGCCATTTCTTTACAAATCACACAGCTGACATAATTTAATCTACAGTATTATTTAAGGCAGAAAAGGGAAGTTTATGCTATAATAGTTAACATATAAACCTACCTGGTCTGGAAAATTAACTTGATCACATTATTTTTAATTATTTTGTCATTAATAAGACCCACTTTAAAAAGTACCCTAAGTTCATAAAGTGCATCAAAAGCATTACAATAACAGCCACGTGTCATGAGATTATTGATCCGCTTTTCCTTAACAGTTTAAGAAGCTTAAATCAAAATACAGCTGCATTTGCACATGAAAACCTTGTTGTTAATAACATGGTAGTGTATCCTGTATACTACACACTATACATAAAAAAATAAATACTGTAGCTCGCTACCTTTTTTGGTTAAAAGATACCTTAATCTAAGACTCTGTAGGCATCCTGCCCTTTGACTTTTCTAACATCAATCTGGCAGCCTAGATTAAAGTACAAGGTTTAGACTCTCAGGGTTGATAAGAGAAGTATCATAATACCAGTGATCAATATTTGTAACCACGTGCAGATTGTCTATGACATCACTGCCAAACTTTGGATATTTCCTTTCCCATCAGCAGCCATTTTTCTTTCATTCATAAAGAATGCAAGTCCTGAGGGAGACAAAATCTCCGGAGAAGTCCATGTGCATTTAGCTGAAATGCTAGAAGTGTATGGAAATGCCCAGTAATTGGCAAGAGACGGCCCGAAACTGATAAAGCTGCTTAGAAGTTCTTATCAGCTTGATGGCATGGACCATTACCCAAAAGAAACACTGCTGTGACCCAGCAAACTTCTGCAGCTTCGGTGCTCAGGTAGGACAGCGCATAGTCTACTTTCATGTCCAGTAAACATAAATATCAAGTGATGGCAAAGCACTGCTGCAGTCACATATTTTTTACTGAATCAATTTGCTCCGTGTACAGCGTTGGCCGAGACAGTTCTAGTTTGGCATTTTCTTTAGCCAGCGATGATTTAAACACAGATCCCCTCTGGGCTATCAGGGTGGACTGGCAGACAGAGGTCCAGCAAAAGTGCTGAACACCAGGGGAGAGTAGGATGAAGACCCAGGGGTCAACGATGGAGTTGACGGAGATGAAGCGGAGAGCAATCAGGTCTGAGGGGTGATCATTCTCGCCATTGTAGTTGATGTACACTCGAATCTGAGGGAGGAAAGAGGAAGCAAGGAGTGAGGATAGAGAGATTATGAAGATTCCAAGGTACAATCTCAAAGCGAACATCATGAGAGAAAGGCACACCACAGCTAGCATCCTGGTTCCAAATCAAACATTAAGCCTTTAATAGTAAACCATCACATAAAGACAGTTTGATATAGGGGGCTGAATTTGACTTAATTTTAATTTAATGCTGCCTGCATGTGGAAGAAGTTTGGAATCATCTTGATAGTGAACAGTGCAAAAACCAGCCAACATCCAAAGATGAAATTACAAGAAAGCCAATGTTGTAGAATAAAAGTGGTAAAAAAATACTACGAATGTTCATGTTTCATGTTTTTGCATTATTGCTCTAGCTAGCAAAATCACATCCGCTTATACTAGCCCATTTATTTATTTATCTATGCAGAATCTGTGGCTCTACTATATATTGATTATTTTGATTATTGAGGAAATACTGTTGGGACATCTAAGAAACTGGAGACTTTTTCTTTGTTTCTCTTCCAGTGAGATTAGCATGATAGCAATCAATCCAACAGCGAAAATGTTGCTGGCGAGTGGACTAGTGCGAGTGCTGTAAACTTTTAAAAAGGTGGAGAAATGGTCTCCACTTACACAAGAGGCTGAGGATAGAAGCCCAGATCTAAACTAGATTACATAATAACCAATGATAATTTGGGCTCAGTTTATCTTACAACCTGACCCCATTATGCATAGTTTTAATTTTTTCGGTTTTAGTCTGCATAACTGATTTCTCAAAAATAAATAGCACTACAATTTATCCCTAGTAATGCACACACCAGATATTTTTACTAACTAATGTTCTACATCAGGAAGAATATTTGAATTTCTTGCAACTCCCAAATATGGGCTCTCATGCTTACAGCCATTCACTCAGTTTACAGACAAAAATAACAATAAAATCAAAGTATGCTTACATATTTCAGTTTTTTAGCTCATCCTACCAATAATTCAAGAAATCTCCACCATTTTCAAAGCACATAGATACTTCGGGCCGTTCGGATAAGCAGACCAAATATTAAAAATGAAACTCCGTACTTTCTAACCTAAAAAACAAACTAAAATCACACTCTAAGACACTCTTGTGGTAGTTCATGATGTACTCGTGTCCCCCCGTGTTTTAGGACATAAATTTTCCTTCTTTTTTTTTTTTATGTTCCAGGATATAAAGTTTCCTCCTTTAACTTTGTTTGCATGAAAAAGATTTCTCAGGCCAATCACATATCTACTGATATAGTTAACTACTTGGTTAGGGTTAGGTAATAATAAGCAGTTTGGTTAGCTGTACATGGTCTGGATAAAAATCCTCTCTAAAGAGTCTCAAACATATGATCTGCAGGTAGGAAACATGCTTCCAACTGAAGCACCTTTTAAACTCGACTGAGTTCAAATTCAGATCTTTTCCGTTTTTGTAAGCTCACCATAAGATTTTCATCTGCCTCGGTCTACAACAGGGGTGTCAAACTCAAATACACAGTGGGCCAAAATTCAAAACTGGAACAAAGTCGCGAGCTAACGTTAATATTTATTGAAAAAAATCTTCCTCTTGATATAAGAATGAATCTTTTCTTACGGACTCAAACAAGTTTTGTTGAAAAACTGAATATGGAACAAGCAAAGCTTAATACTAAACAATATATATATTAGCTGTATAATACCAGTAGGCCAGCTCTGATAGTAACTTGGTATGGCTTCGCGGGCCAAATGTAATTAGGCTGCGGGCCAAATTTGGCCCACAGGCCAGAGTTTGACACCTATAGTCTACAACCTCCAACCTTGTTCAAAAGTCAAAATCAAAGAAAGGTAGTAGAAAAATTGATGTATTATAAAGTACTTGAGCTTTTAAATACAGCTGCTTTCATTAGCACCCCTTAGGCCAAGAATGAGCATCAAATTACACTGATTAGTTCCTCCTTTGCAGCTGGAATGTCAGTGAAATCAGCTACTGCCTTTATTGGCAGGAAGAAGCAGTAAATTCCCTCAGCACATAACCACAAGGTTGAAAACCAGCATGTTAATACAATCCATGGAAGCTGTGACTAGTCTGCAGGTTTAGAAATGACTGCTACTCTCTCTCGGGGATCGAGGGGAACAATATACAGTTAAAAGGATCAAATAACAAGAAACAATAACCTCCTAATAGTTTACATGCTCACTGTATTTCCTAACAGTGCTTCTCTTATTCACTTCCTGTCCTCCACCCACCCTTTTCTCTTTCTCTGAAATTCTTTTTTTATTGCTATCTGCAAGTTTTTATTTACTTTCTCTTTTGCTTTCCACTCTACATTTGTGTTGGCACCTATGACAGCACTCAATTTATCACCTGGAAATAAGGAGTAATTTGCATGAAAAGGTGTAAGAAAAATCAGCATGTATTTCAAAAATACAAATGATGAAGGAACAATGTGAACAACCTTGGAATAAAACACAAAATGTGCCTTTTGCGTGTTCTGTTCTTTAAGTGCAAACCCCAGTGCCATTTTAAACAAAGCCAGATGGGATCATTACTCTGATTAGTGACAGCCTTCACCATGTGTGAGAAACGAGAATGCGAGGAGACAGAAGTCAGACTTTCACCGTGAGCCCACGTTTCTCTCACAGCACCAACAGGAAGTATATTAATAAAAGCGGTGTTGTGAGTCTTTGAGGGTATTGATCAGAGAACTAATGTCATCTGTTTTAGTTTCATTTCGAAGAGCAAAATGTTACACAGCCACAGTGTATGCTGAGCAGATACTGAGTCAGAGGTGGTGACATTATTAATTTTGCCCTCATGTTATCGTGTTACTTATTAATGTTGGCTAGCGTTTTCAATTTTTAATGCGATCACAGATAACCACATCATCTGTCCACGATTTCATATCCGCAGAAAAATGTAATATGATCTTGCCATGTGGCTGTGTGTATTTGATATCCTGACTGTGGTCTCACATTGCAATCTGGACACCCAAGAGTAAATACAGTATATCATTGTGTGCTTGGGAATCTCACAACCATTTTGCAAACATGAAAAACCTTAAATATTTATTCAAGCCCCACCTTCTTGAGCTACAGTCATTATTAGAGAACTGCTCAGTGATGACAGCCACAACATCAGATGTTATCAGTGAAAAAGGTAGCAGTTTTATCACTTGGCTTGAATGCTAACGTATGACTCTACTTTGAAGGCAAACCTCCATCTTCAATGTGTGCCGCACTTGATAATTTGCACTAACATTTGGCTAGTATTTGCAGGCCAACATGAAAAACTACAGGCAACTATGGCAATCTGCTAGGAACCAAAGCAATGAAGCTTTTGGTGCAACTACTTCTTTGCATCCAACTTCACCCAAGCGACCGCCAAAAACTTCTAGACACCATCGTCAACCAGTCAGGAAGCACATTTTTACATAGCAACCATGGGCTGTATCACGTCCTATATGGTGGGCAACTCTTGTTCTTGTGCATGTGATGTCATTTAAGAGGTAAAATACATCCTCCTCTGTCCATACAATATTACAAGAAAGAGAATTATACTTGATGCTTTTAAAATAAGGGACTATCTCGCTCTCTGTAAGATCACTTTGTGTGCCTCTAGACTGATATGTGGTAAAAAGTTTTCTACATATTCCTGTGGGTTATTGTGACCATTCTGTAGAAATATGAAGACAGGAGAGGACAGGAGACATGACTGTGACAGCTACAAGTAAGTGATTTATAAATACGGATGTTATTCATTAAAAGAATAATATGTTTGAAACTAATGTTATGAAGACTTCAGCGAGCGGTGGTAAAAAGTCTGATGACTCAGCCATTTAAAATTGTTGCCGCATAATAGCTGAACATGACTGACGTGAAGATGCAGTCTGTCCAACAGAATCACCAACTTTTTTTCTATTAAAAAAAATACAGAATAAGTTTGCATCTAAATAAAGCCATCAAGTCACCATAATCATAATCAGGTTTGCATGGTAAAATTAGCAGTTTTGTCAATGTAGTCTGGTGGAGTTCAAGAGTTTGACTTCTTGTTAAGAAGTGCCATCTGAAACCAGGAAAAGCACTGAAAATGTTCAACATATAACATACATTTAAACTGATATCAACACATGTAAGTTCACTTTCTTGCTAGAAGGCAATACTGCATCGTTGATGGTGTTAAAAAAAGACTACTATGGGTAACACGTAATTAAAGCGGATTATCCCCAACTAAGTGAAAACTATTTACTCAGAGAATATGATAAAAATCTTTAAATAGTTCTATGGACTGAAAAAAGGCAACCCAGTTCTGGCGATATACATCATCAAATACATATTTTATTTTATCTCTCTCCAGTAAAAATAAAACCAACAAAATTTGACTCTTCATTTATTTGGAATTTAGCAAACTTACAAATGTAGTTGTTAAATTTTAGTTGCCTGCTGAGGCAGTGAAGAAACCTGATCTCAGTGTCTTGTACCTGCCCACAGAATTCTACATCTGGCTGCAGTTGTCTGATAGTTGATTCTCATTAACACAATTAGAAGCTATCAAAATGTTCAGTTTTACGGCATCCTGTGATGATTATGCTCCTCATTAGTGTTAAAGACATTTTTTAAAAGTCCTGTGTATGAATAGCTTATGTTACAAAAGCACTAGAAATTTTAAGTGAGTGGATGTGTGACAATTTGAGGGATTTACATAACGATCAAACAATAACGTAAATGAATAATACTCCTTGAGGAACACTCTCTGAAGGGCTCTGCTTGTAAGAACATGGTTCATAAAGTGGCTTCCGCCTTGGCGTCGTCTGCTTTTTATATTGTGGCTGATATTAAGTTAAGTATAATGCACAACTTGGCAGACACTGCAGAGCTGAAGGTTATGACTCGGTATTTCCGGTCAGAGCTGAGAAGCAACAGCACACGGGATGGCACTTTGGCACATAACCGATGTCTGCAACAAAGTGCATGGCATCATATTCTGCTGGGAAAGCTACTCGTTTAGCATTTAAAGAACAAAGAGACGCTTAGGAAATCTAATTTTTCTCATATGTCTACTTTGTAAAGATGCTAAGCTAGTCAGAAATATCCTATAACAAAGTCTAACATAGAGGTTTTGTTTTTGGTGTTTTACTACCATCCCCTGAGCAATCATCACAGATGTTGTTACATTTGTGATGTTGTTACAAGTGACATTTCTAATTGCACTTGGAAAGACAGACACTCCTGATCTTCGAATTACAGCCTGAATCCAAATTGCCTTCTGATGACATTACTGATAAAATCTTAAAGGTTGCTTCCAGTTACCAAGCATACTGCAAGTGAAGCCTGCTGTTTGGGATGATAACTTGACCTTAAAACATAACTTCTCTTCGATTTTTTATTTTTATTTTTTTTGGGGGGGGGGGTTGGATTGTAGTCTTGGACATTTCATTATCTACTCACTATTTAAATAAAACTTGAGTATAATAATAATGACAACGTTTATGTGTTAGTCCCCGTAGGGAAATTATTCCTCTGCATTTAACCCATTCACCCAGTGAAGCAGTGGGCAGCCACCAGTGTAGGGACAGTACCTTGCTCAAGGGTACTTCAGGGTAGCTGTTCAGTGGATTTGAACCCCCAACCTTCCAATCATGGGGCAACCACTCTACCTACTGAGCTATCCCTAAATATGTGACTCAATATGTGATGGAAGAAATCATTAGCAAAAATATAGCTTGGAATCATAAATAGCTTTATAAATATCTTGGATTTATTTATTTTTAATTTAATAATTTTGTAATTCAGAGTTGTGGCAGTGCAGAAGCCTGGCCAAGCTGTAATAAAACCTTTCACACAGGAAGTGGCATGTGCTGTGCTGCGCTCTGAAACCCAGTCTTTTCAATGGCTTGTGCCATGCAGTTTCCTGCTGTTTTGAGCAAAGCATAGCATAAGTTTGCCGGGCAGGGAGCACTTGTGGAGGCGTGGCTCAACACAAATTTCTGGCTGATCATTCAACATAGCCGTTAGTGCAGCGCATGCTGGAAAACACCCTGAAAAACTCGCCAGTCTATTTTATTCATGCATCCATCCATGCATCTATCCATTCATTCTCTTCCGCTTATCCTTATCGGGGATAACTGTTTCAGACACAATTTCTCTGCTGTAGCTGCTTAGCGGCAAAGTGCCTAAAGATACCATTTAAGTTTTCTGATATGTAGACAAAACACTGGTTTATCCCTTGAGTTACGCAGTTTTGTATGCTTGAATGATTCACAGGCCAGTGTTACGTGGCTTAACAAAAAAAAACAAAAACAAAACAAGACAACAAAAAAAAGTTAAAAAAGAAAAGACGTGAATATTTTAGCAAGCCCCTGTACACAAACTGAAGTGCATCATCTTTGGCTTTAAAATAGCCAGCAGCTTTACAAAGGCACTACAGAAATTCCTGTCTACATATTGGCATCAAAGCAACCGATAATCTACTGCAATGTTTATGAGTATTGCATTTC